CCACTTCCCAAGTGCTGGGTTCATAGCAACTTTCTTTTTCTGTTCCTGAGTTCTTTTAGATTTATTTTTGTTTTATGTGTATGGGTGTTTTGTGTGCATGCATGTCTATGCACTCTGTGCATACAGTGCCTGCAGAGGCCAGAAGAGGGAATTGGATTCTCTGGAGCTGGAGTCACAGATGGTTGTGAGCTTCCATGTAAGCACTGTGAACTGAACCTGGATCCTTTGGAAGAGCAGCCAGGGCTCCTAACCATTGAGCCACCTCTCCAGCCCACATATTTTTATTTTGAGTATTTATTTTAATTTTAAAATTATATGCATTTGTCTCTGTGTGTTTTTGTGTGTGCACGTAGGTGCCTGCAGAGGCCAGAAGAGGGTGTCAGATCCCCTGGAGCTGGAGTTATAGGTTGTAAGCACCTGACAGGAGCTGGGGCTTGAACCTGACTCCTCTGGAAGGCCAACAAGTGCTCACATCCTCTGAACCACCTCTTCAGCCCCTACCATTTCCAAATTTCTAAAAATGTTTAGATTGGTGGCTTATGTTCCAGTGCCCCCACAGGCATCAGGCATCCTTGAGGCAGGGAACTTCTCTGGGTCCTGGCCTATTTGAGTGGGTGCTCATGTGCTAAATGAACACCTGAATGTAGGGCCTCGCCAGGGCCAGCGCAGTGTAATCATACAAAGCAAATGCCAGAGGTCACACAGGTCATAATTCTGAACATAGAATATTGTTCTAGAATCTTGCAAAAGTAGTGTGTGTAATCAGAGGATGATGATGAACACAAACATCAGCACAAACTCATGTACCTTACAATAACAAATACAAAAACAAAATGGTTGGATTTTTCAACAAATTCAGATTTTCTCAGAGTAGTTTTATTTAAAATATAGCTCTGAAGGCAGATATGGTGGTGCATGCTTGTGATTCCAGTACTTAGAAGCCTAAGATAGAACTGTTGGTTCCAAAGTCAATCTGGGCTAGGTAGGATGTTTCAAGCCAGTCTGGGCTATGTAACAACCCTATATCAAAACTGCACACAGAGACATACTTGCATTCATGTACAAACACACACACACACACACACACACCCTTTGGTGGCTCTGAGGAAAGTCAGCAAGACAAAGTTGAAGATGAGTGAAGAGAGGCGTCTCTGAGAGCATATCCTGTGGACTGAGACAGCATGAGCCCCAGAGGACTCTTAACCATACCAAGTGGGGACCTAGTTAGTAGGTCACAGGGCTGACCTTCCAAACGGTGAGACTTTCTCTCAGAGCTGATTCTTTCATGGACAGCCCTGTGCTTGCCTCAGGTACCCCAAGGATGACAATTCTAGATTCCCATGATCAGCTCAGGGGAAGTCAGCTACAAAACAAGAACATTTTTTTTTGTCAGGTCCAAAGGAAACTCCATTTCCCCAAGTTCTGAAAGACAGCCCTGGACTATAGACGTATTAAAACAAAACAAAACTTGTGAAACTGATTCCCACCAGCCAAAAGGAGTCATTCTCCTATCTCCATCAGAAGGGACATAAGGCTTAGCCATTACTAACACATGACTGTGGTGTTTCTCAGCGTATCAAAGTCTATGCTAGCCTCCAGGCTACCTCAGCCCCTACATGCAAGTACTTGTTATACACTTCAAAGCCTCCACACCCAAGAACTGAAAACTATTTAAAGGAAGGAAGGGGCCAAGCTCAGTGGTGCACACCTGTAATCCCAGCCCTCAGGGAGGCAGAGGCAGGTGGATCTCTGTGAGTCCAAGGCCAGCCTGCTCTACAAAGTGAGTCTAGGACAGCCAAGGCCAAAGACAGAGAAACCCTGTCTTGAAAAAAAGAAAAAAGTAAAATAAATAAATAAATAAATAGTATAAACGGAAGGTGAGAGGGAAGAAGGAAGTGGAATGTCTGGTTTGAGGAGTATAAATCTGATCTTTGTTGTTTATGAGTTGAGGAAACTGACTCATCTTTCTGAACTTGTATTCCAAGTTCGAGACAGCAGGTTGACAATGAGTGTTACAATGAGTCATACAGCAGCATGGTGCCTGGACCAGGGTGGGTGGGGACACAGGTCACCTTTCCAGGTTGTCAAAAAGAATAATAAAGCTACCTCTCCCCAATTTCATCACACCTCCACACGTGCCTTACCAGTCCACACAGTAGAAGCCAACCTGCACTTTTCTACTCTGCCCTCTGTGGTGAGTTGGGAAAATGGAAAAAAGAAAAAGCAACTGCACAATACTTACTTGTAGCCCGGAGAGGCAGGCGTGCTGATTCACACTTGGGAGGCTGAGGCATGAGGGTCAGAAGTTCAATGCCAGCTTTAGGTGAATAGCAAGTTCAAAGCCAGCATGGGCTACATGAGGCTCTGTATCAGAAAACTAAGCTAAATAATGATGGTGATGATCAGAGGCTGGACTGAGGAGAAAGTGATATTTGTAAATTGTCCCTTATTAGGGCCATAGGACTGAGAGATGGAGATAAAGACAGTGCTTCCCAAAATATCCCAAAATATCTTTAAATCAATGTTCTTTTTTTTTTTTTTTTCTATTTTTTTTTAAAGATTTATTTATTTATTATTTATATGCACCAGAAGAGGACACCAGGTCTCACTGTGATGGTTGTGAGCCACCATGTGGTTGCTGGGAATTGAACTCAGAACTTTTGGAAGAACAGCCAATGTTCTTAACCTCTGAGCCACCTCTCCCACCCAAAATTAATGTTCTTACAATGACTGTAAGAGTTGACCCACTTTTGTAAGTTTTAAAAACATATCTTACTTTGAAATAATTACTGATTGACAGGAAGTTGCAAAAACTCGAAAGTTGAAAAAGGTCCTTGTGTATTCACCCAGTTTGTGTATTCACCCATCAGCCCAACATCTTACAATTGCAGTAACATTCCATCAAAACCAGAAAATGGGCCTTGGTACAACCAGGCACCTAATTGGGACTCTGTCAGCACAGCATGTACATTTGTGCCAGTGTGTGTGTGTGTGTGTGTGTGTGTGTGTGTGTGTGTGTGTGTGTTTCTCTGCCATCTCATTACATGGATTTCCATAGAGTCAGCATCACAAAGTCCAGAAGTAGTCCTCCATTAAAGATCCTTGCAGGCAAGGTAGGGCGTTTGGTTAGTGACTCCTTGAGCTGTCGGTTCTGCTCACACCTCCTCTAGTCTCCTCCTCTCTCCCCCACCTCTGGAGTAGTTTGTTTTCCTCTGGCATAGCTGATATTTCTTCTTACTGTGTTAATTTTTCTTACTCATCTAAAAATGAAGGAACGGGTTCTTTTATTGGCTCCTTGCTGTTTTGTACGCTGGAAGGAATATAGAGCACCCAGCCCTCCGGCAGAGGAACTTCCGTGTCCTAACCCTCAGTAACACACAGAAGACTGCCCAGCAGGACCGCCCTTATTCCTATCATTGATGATTGGCTAGTTTTCCCTCAAAGGTACAGTGGCTAGGTCCAGATAAAAACGGGCAGGAACTGAACACAAACTTATCTGGTAAGTACACTGGCCCAGCAGGGAGCGGCACATTCCAGGGCCGGTTCCTTAAAGAGACAGAACAAGTCTGTTCCCAGAGCCCTTGTTTCCTACTGAGCAAGCGCAAAGTAGAAAAGCTGCCAGGTGTGGATTTGAGTTTCCTATTTACAGTTCCTTAATTCATTGCCAAACAGGACAGAAAAGCAAAGCTCTCCGCAGTGAGTTCCCACAGTGTTCACGAAGGGACTTGAAGGAGGCCCTCTTTCCCCAAGTCCGTCTTGAAGCCCCCCTCAACTCTGCCTTCAGAGGGAAGGGGACCAGGGGATAGTCACTGCAGTTACTAAGTTGGGGGGGGGGGGTTGACTTGGCAGCAGGCACAGTGCCGGCGGCTTCAGCTGCAGCTTCAGCTGCAATACCTCATTTAATCTGTGTAGCAACCCCGAGAGTCATGTGATCTTATCTTCCCAACTGAGAAAGTTGAGTAAGACAGAACTTAAGTGTTTTATTTATCGAGGCCACGTACCTCTGTCAAGAAACACCTCCCTGTGAGACATAGACAAGGCTAAACGACTAATGGCTTTTGCCTGACGTTAGGGTGACGTTTTGTTGGCGGTGGTGGTGGGTTTTTTTCTCCTTACCATTTTTAAGCTTACGAAATAGCCAAAAGCTTGTTGTTGGGAGAATTTTCACTAGAAAGAGGATGATGCATTCATTAGTGACCCGCCTCCCCATCTCCTCCCGTGCTAGCTTCCAGGCCAGGTAAATGTCTGTTGCTGAAGTCTGCTCACCCAGTCACCACCTAGGGCAGACTTTAGAAAGGTGACGGAGGTGTACATGCGTTCTTTCCCTTTACAGAGCGGGCTGGGTGGGTGAGACCGCACAGTGGGGAAAAGTGCCGTGGTCCTCCGTCCTGAGGAGGTGAGCTCCATCCTCAAGAGCTCCTCGATGGAAGGAGAGAACCAAGCATGCTGTCCTCTGACCTCCGCTGGGGTGGACGGGGACCACAGCGCACACTAACCTGCCACTCCCAATAAATAAATAAAATATAAAGATAAAACCTCGGCTATGAGGTTTTATGAGGAGACAAGGTCCCTGCATGGAAAAAAGTTAAAAATAAGGTTAAGTACGAAAGTTCTCCGTCTAATCTGAGGTGTAGCTATGTTTGTAAACACAGGAACGTTCTTAATAAAAGTCTAAGGGCGGCTCTGTGGAGAACCTGCATGTGAGTTAACATAGAAAGTGGTTTTGTGCACACAGTCAGGGGGAACACTGACGGCATTTGTCATTTCATTCATAAGGGAGAAGGATCTCAATTAGGTCAATTTCAACACACCAAGCCAAACAGCTAGTAAGCCGCCCACAGAAGAAGGAAACTTTTTAGCATTCTTAAAACGCAAATGAGGCGTTAGCATATGCACTAATTGTGCAAGCAGAAAGTCCCTGACCTTTTATTGCAAAGAGGAGGAGCCAAAGATCCTGACAGGCTGCAGTCTCTCCCTCAGGGACTTCCTGTTGTCACTGACTGGGATTGGGCGTGTGAGCTCGCCTGCCCGGGAGAAAGCCAGACTCCAGGGTGGGAACGCAGGCTCTTCGGAGTGGGCCACATCCTTGTGTTGGGGACACATGATCTCTTGAGGTTCCCTATGCTGAGGTTGTATTTTCTCATCAGCTTGATGTGCTTGGTGAAATCAGGTAGGTCATTTAGCCAATGCTTTTAAAAAATATCAGTGAACTTTCAAAGTTTCATGTGAGCACTTTTGAGGCCAGGAGCAATGGGAAAATGAACTTTCTTATATTGAAATTTTTTTCCCTCAGTCATTTATTTATTTGATCAAACTGTTATTTATTTGAGTTAACCTGAGAAAGCTAAGGTCGTATTAATTTCTTTCATAGCTTAATTGTGTCTTTCCACCTATAGGAAATGAAGTAATTAATGTAGAGAGGTAAGTTTTTTCTTTTTTTGTTTTTTTTCTTTTCATATTTTTAGCAAGGGAAGATTTTTATACTTTCATGCATTTAGGTGTATTTAAATCAGTATTACAACATCATAATTTTATATACATAATATATACATAAATTCCTTTTAGGGTACATGGTACATTTATAACTTAACAATTATTAATCGCCAGGCTGAGGACATATTTCAGTTGCAGAATACACACCTAGCATGTACGAGGCTCCAGGTTCAGTTTCCAATACAAGAAATTTCCATTACAAGATAATAAAATAAAAATGAAGATATTAATCTCCACAGTAAAATAACAACAACAACAAAAAAATGAAGTGAAATGTACTTCTCAGTCCGTGGAACCTACTTCCTTTGCACACAAAGATAGTGACTGTGAATTCTGACTTTACTTTTGTTTGTTTTGTTTTTAGAGACAGGGTTTCTCTGTGTTGCCCTGGCTGTCCTGGAACTCGCTCTGTAGACCAGGCTGGTCTTGAACTCAGTGGGACAAAAGTGGATACCACCACACCCAACCTTGACCTACAACTTTTTAAAGGGCAGGGAGAGACATTAGACCTGGAAAACACTCTGCTCCGTGGCTTGTAAAAGCCTTACAGGCAATGTGTTCCAAGGGAACAGCCTTTTGTTGGGGCAGCAGGCCGTGCTAGGTTTTAAACCTAGGGCCTTACCACACACTGGGCAAACACTCAGCTACGGAGTTAACATTCCCAACCCCAAGAATAACCTTTAAAATGAAAGAGCAAAGCAACAGGAAAGCTCAAACGCAGACTAGATAGAGAAAAGTCTCTACTCCAGGGTTGGATCATGTTTCCAAATATGAAACCATTTTCTAGTACATGTGTTTACATCTTTAATACGCGTGGGCACACAAGCCACAGTGCATACCTGGAGGTCAGAGTACAGCTTGTAGCAGCTGGTTTTCTACTTTCACCGTGTGGGTACTGGGGAGAACTCAGGTTGTCAGGCTTGGCATCAGTGGCATTTACCCATGGAGCCCACTTATGGGCTCCAGTGTTAAACTGATTTTTAAAGGAAGTGATCTGTGGGACCAAGAGACCAGCCCAGTAGATAAAGCACCTGCCAGACAACTATGAACCCATATGAATGCCCACGGGCTGTGGAGGCCCATTTACAACCTCAGAGCTGTGTGGGCAGAGATGGGGGTCTCTAAACAAGCTGGCCAGCCGCATCCGGGAGCTCTAGGTTCCAATGAGAAGCCCTGCCTTAGCTTCTAAGGTGGAGGCCATTGAAGAAGACACCTACCAACCTCTGGCCTCTGTATGCACAAACCCACTCATACATGTCAACACACGCATGTGAACATGAAGACATACAAACACACTCACCAGACACACATACGAATGCCAGGAAGAGGGAAAGGAAAAATAGTCATTAATATAATTCTGATGCTTTTCAGAAATGTCCAAACGTGTTTTAAAATAAAAGGGGCCGGTGACATGGCTACGTGGGTGAAAACGCCAGCTGTATAAGTCTGGAAAGCTGAGCTGGATCACCCAAACCTATGGAAAGGTGTTGGGGTATGTGTGTGTGTGGGGAGGAGCAGGAAGTCATCCTCCTGCAGAGCTGTGGCATGGAAGGGCATGAGCCTGCACACACACAATAATAAAGACATTTAAAATTTTAGATATAAAATAACAGAGAGGATAAGATGGTAGAACTCAATTCTGTAAACTGATCAAAACTGTTAAAATCATGTAAGTGTGCTAATAAATGAAACTTAGGATTGAGCTGGAAAATTTATAATAGTTATATTAGGATTTATTTCTAACCCAACTTGACTGCACTGTTTTAAGTCTTTGTACAATCCTATGTGGTAAATAGTATTCTCCCAGTCCCCAATCAGCATCAACAGCTACCAACTTTCTGGCATCTCCTATGTGCCAAGGCTCTAGAAACCTCACAAGGCATCATTTATAATCCTTAGAACAATCCTGACAACCTCAGGGTTAGGGTAGAGTCATGAGGAGAATGACATTCCTCAGAAAAACATCTAAGGAGAAAAGGGACAACAAAACTCAGACATCAAGATAAGTGATTTAAATTTTTTTTGAGATCTTACTTTGTGTGTATGTGTTTTCCTGAACGTATTCTGTGTACCACATGCTTGCAGTGTTCACAGGGGTCAGGAGAGCTTGTCCGTTCTCCTGAGACTGGAGTTATGGATGGCTGTGAGCCGCCATGTAGGTGCTGGGAATCAAACCCCAGTCCTCAGGAAGAGCAGCCAGGGATCTCTCCAGCCCCATGGTTTTTTGTTTGTTTTTTCAAAACAGGGTTTCTCTGTGTAGCCTTGACTGTCACGGACTCACTTTTGTAGACCAGGCTGGCCTCGAACTCGAACTCACAGAGATCCACCTGCCTCTGCTTCCCTGAGTGCTGGGATTACAGGCATGCCCCACCATACTTGGCTTCAGCCCCATGTTTTTTTAACTTAAAAAATTACATTTAATTAGCTAGTTTATTTACTCATTTATATTTATTTGTGTGTGTGTTTGTATGTTTGCGTGTGTGTTATGTACATGTGCATATACAAAAACTACAGTTTGCCAGCAGAGTTCAGAGAGCACCTTTCAGGCATCAGCTCTCTCCGTCCACCATGTGGGTTCTGAACTCAGGTCCTCAGTCTTTGCCGCAGGTGCCTCCACCCACTGAGCCGCCTGGCCCTTCCATTAGCGATGCTCTACCACAACATATAAAACATCAAAAGGATTGTAGCTAAGTGTAGAGTGAGCAGAATGTCAACATTTTTTCGTAAAGAGAAGCTACTTTTGGTTTAATCACCTGTACTGTGTGGTGAAAGACGTCATTTCCAAACAGCAACCTGCACCTTGGTGGCCCCGGCTGGCTTCACTTCCTCGTTCAGCAGTTTATGAGGGTCTATGATGCTGTGTAAACAGACGGAATCACACAGAGCTTTATTGAGTGCTTTCCCCTTTCTTCCTTTTCTTTTTCTTTCTTTTGTTCTTCCTCCTTTCTTCTTTTTTCCTTCTTTCTTCCTTTTTTTTTTTTTTTTTTTTTTTTGAGACAGGGTTTCTCTGTGTGGTCCTGGCTGTCCAGGATCTCTCTCTGTAGACCAGGCTGACCTCGAATTCAGAGATCCTCCTGCCTCTGCCTCCTGAGTGCTGGGATTAAAGGTGTGTGCCACAACTGCCTGGCCCCTCTTCTTCTTCTTTATGGTAGAGTGTTGGTGAATTGTGTTCAGTTGGTTCAAAATACCAAACAGTTTGTGTGTGTGTGTGTGTGTGTGTGTGTGTGTGTGTGTGTGTGTGAATTTCCCTGTTGCTGTGACGAAATACTCAGCAGAAGCAATTTAAGGGAGGAAGGGCTTCTTTGGCCTCTGTGTAAGAGGATGCAGTCCATCACATGGAAAAGCAGGGTGGTATGGGGCTTTGAAGCAGCTGTTAAACTTTGGCAGTCAGGAGGTAGAGATCTGGGGCTGAAAGTGTGTCCCCGCTTATAATCCTTACAGCATGGTCCTCAGGGACTCTTTCTTCTGCTAGGATCTACTCCCCAAGGATTCTACAGCCTCTTTTTTTAAATTTATTTTTTGATTATTACAGTTTATTCACTTTGTATCCCAGCTGTAGTCCTCTCTCTCATCCCTTCCCAATCCCACCCTTCTTTCCTCTTCTCCTCCCATGCCCCTCCCTCAGTCCACTGATAGGGGAGGTCCTTCTCCCCTTCCATCTGACCCTAGTCTATCAGGTGTCATCTGGTCTGGCTGCATTGTCTTCCTCTGTGGCCTGGTAAGGCTGCTTCCTCCTCAGGGGGAGGTGATCAAAGAGCCAGCCACTGAGTTCATGTCAGAGATAGTCCCTGCTCCCCTTACTAGGGAACCCACTTGGAGACTGAGCTGCCATGGGCTACATCTGTGCAGGGGTTCTAGGTTATCTCCATGCATGGTCCTTGGTTGGAGTTTCTGTCTTTGCAAAGACCCCTGGGCCCAGATATTTTGGTTCTGTTGGTCTCCTTGTGGAGCTCCTGTCCCCTCCAGGTCTTTTTCTCTTCCCCTTCTTTCATAAGATTCCCTGCAAAGAAATCAATCTGGAGCTTTCTTAAAAAATTAGAAATAGTGCTACCTCAAGATCCAGCTATATCACTCCTAGGCATATAACCCAAAATATGCTCAAGTATACAACAAGGACATTTGCTCAATCATGTTTGTAGCAGCTTTATTCTTAATAGCCAGAATCTGGAAACAACCCAGATGTCCCTCAATAGAGGAATAGATACAGAAATTTACACAATGGAATACTCCTCAGCAATTAAAAACAAGGAAACATGAAATTTGCAGGCAAATGGTGGGAACTAGAAAAGTTCATCCTGAGTGAGATATCCCAGAATCAGAAAGACACACATGGTATATACTCACCTATAAGTGGATGTTAGACATATAACATAGGACAAACATACTAAAATCTATACTCCTAATGAAAGGAGGAGGACCCTAGGGAAGTTACTCAGTCCTCACTCAGAAAGCAAATGGGATAGACATCATCAGAAGTGGGAGAAAAAAATGGGAACAGGACGGGAGCCTACCACAGAGGGCCTCTGAAAGACTCCACCCAGCAGGGCATTGAAGCAGATGCTGAGACTCTATAGCCTCTTAAAGCAGTTGCCACTTTGGGGGACTAGTGTCCAAACAAAGGAACCTGTGGGAGACATTTCATATTCAACTAACTACATCTGTGTAGGGATGGCTTCAAATTCAACCTGCGTTCGTGCAGCACTGCCTGAGAGTTTAGCATTATTATGGTCATTTTGTAAATGCAAGATTGAGAGGGTGATTGTGTCAGTAGCTAGTGGGAAGTTAGTCTAGATCTCAAACCTAGGTCTAACTCTCAAACCCATGTCATTTCCAAAACTGTATTGTGTTTTTATATAAGAGACTGGCACACAGTGAGCAAACTCTGTAGGTAAGAAACCGAATGGTTAAATACTTTCAGCTTTGCAGCTGAAACCCAGGATGGTTTAACCTTGCTAGTGACAGCAGGAGAGCATCCACGGCCAATACCATGGATATTGTAGATAGACACGCCAGATTATAAGAAAATACCTCAGTGCGACTTTGATGCAGTTCAGCCCATAGAGTACTTGCCTAGGATGCATGAACCTCGGTTTGATCCACAGCACTGCATAAACTTGGTGTGCTGTGCACACCTGTAATCCCAGCACACAAGAAGTGAAGGCAAGAAGATTAGAAGCTTAAGATCATCCTCAGCTGCATCATGAGTTCAAGGCCAACCGAGCTAAAAAGATGAAAAAGTTATTGATGGTTGCTCTGATTTTCAACTTGAATCTGTTTCTTTTAACATAAGAAAGAAGGTCATAAACGATAATTACGCCACCTCAGAATAGACTCCAGATTCTTCCTCTAAGGGTGTTGTAGACAGAGTCCATTTCATTGTAATTTTCCAGGTATCAGTGAAAAATGTTATTTCAGGGTAAGTAGTCCAGAAAGGACAGGTACAATTTCTCCTGTTGCAGTGAACTGCCAGAGACAAGGTTACACTTGAAAAACCAGTTTAATATACTCTGTGAGTACCTGCTTGTATTCTGAGTAACCTTGACTTTGTAAGAAACCAATAGAACAGCCCAAAAGTTGCCTTTTGGAAGCATAGAATCATTCACAACTTGAAGTACAGCAGTGTAAATGAAAACATACGGAGCTCAGTGTGTGAGACTGTTTGGACACCCTCATCTCTCACAGTGCCCAGCCTTTGTGTGTTCTCCAAATTGCTGAGAATTTGACACCAACAAAAAGTTCCTGTACTAGGAATAATACATTTGATACAACAAGAGCCACAGCAGCACAATACCCGAGCCCAAGTAGCTCAAGCTAATTTGTAACATGGGCCAAACTCATTGTTTGTTTGTTTGTTTAAAGATGTTTAGTTCTGGGAGGCAAATATGGAGCTCAGTGGTAAAGTGCTTGCCTGGGGTGTATAAGGCCCTGAGTTGGGACTTTTTGCAGTCAAAATTAATAAATGGGCTGGAGAGATGGCCCAGTGGTTAAGAGTATACATAATATATAAATATGCATACAGATATTTTTCATTTATATATTTATATATATATTTTCCTTTTAAAATTTTATTTTATTTTATGTTTATATGCCTGAGTGTATGTATATTCACCTCATGCATGCAGGAACCTGTGGAGGTGAGAAGAGGGCGTCAAATCTGGAACTGGAATTACAGGTGGTTTTAAGTCACATGTGGGTACTGGGAACTGAACCTGCAGGAGTTGGGGTGCTCTAGGAGTCTGTGAGTGCTTTTAACGATTGAGCCATTTCTCCAGCCTCCTTTTGTTGTTTTGTCTTGGTTTTTGAGACAGGGTTTCTCTGGGTAACCTTGGCTGTCCTGGGCTTGCTTTGTAGACTAGCTGGCCTCAAACTCTCAGCAATTCACTTGCCTCTGTCTCCCTGAGTGCTGGGATTAAAGGCGTGTGCCACCACACCTGGTCCAGCCTCCGTATTTTTTTTATGTTTGTGACTGTGTATATATGTGTGTATAATGTATGTATGTGTGTGTCTCATGCCTATAGAGGCCAGAAGAAGGTGGCAGAACTTTGGGAACTGGAGTTACTGGCAGTTGTGAGCTGCCACGTGGGTGCTGGGCACGAAAATCAGGTCCTCTGCAAGAGCAGTCAGTGCCTTTACCCTCGGAGCCATCACTTCAGTCCCCCCTTATCCTTCTCATCTTTCAACTTGACCTTTAGTTTATCTCCAAATCTCCTCCATTCCCCATTGAACTGAAGCCTTAAATGTCTACCTTTTTTTTTTTTTTTTTTTTTTTTTTGCTCCTCACTTCATTTCTTCCCTTCCCTTCTCTGCCCCTGCTCCTCCCCTCCCCTTCCCATTCCATCCCTCCTCCCTCTTTTGTACTACAAGGGATTGAACTCAAGACTGTACATGCTAGATCATACATGCTATAGACACCTTCCTTCAACAGGGCCACACCCACTCCAGCAAAGCCACACCTCCTAATTCTTCCCGCCCTGGTATTTAAATATTTAAGTATTTAAATACATGAGCCACTGAGGGCCATTCTTCGTCAAACCACCCGAATAACCGAAATTTGACTATCTCCATGAATTGAAAGCTGAGACCACACTTTCACCTGATTGTCTAGATACCAATTTTCCAACTGACTCGGTTTATTTTATTGCATTTTCCCTTCTACCACAAGTTCTACCCAAATTCTAAACATTGCCCTGGTTTACCCTGTCCCTGTTCTTCGTCACTCTAGACCATTTCCACAGCCTTCCTACACTGTTTATCACGGTGATCCTTTGCCAGGAAGGCAGAGCCTGTTTCTCATTTAATGTTTGCCAGTTTCTCTGGCACAGTTGGGTTCCAGTTTCAGTGTCAGCACCGGAGCAGTGGCACTGTGGTCTCTCAGCCCCTTTATGTTTCAAGCACATTGACTCTATGGATGCTCTTCTGCATCCATAGAGTGATGATAAGCAAGGCCTGGCCCAGTTTCTCCATGAGGTTGCTACTGATTGTTCCCTAGTGACCAAAAGCAGTCTTAAAGCATTGTCTCACCGAGTGACATTCCCAGCGATGCCCCAAGTCCGGTATGGCAGGGCATAGCTGTACTCCTAGAATTTAGGAGGGTGAGAGAGTTAGACTGCAAATTTGAGGCTGGACTGGGCTATGTAGTAAGTCTGAAGACGGCCTGGGTTTCATATTAAGACCCTGTCTCAGACAACAACACAAAGATCTTCCAGGTTTGTGCCGTCTCTTCCTTGAGTCCAGTTTTCTTCCGAGGCTGTTCTGCAGGGCAAAGGCTTGAAAGGATTGCTTCAGGAGCTAAGAAGAAAAGGGCCTAGCCCCAGCTGACATGGTCTGAACTTTCAGATGGCTCAGCGCAGGGCATACCTCACTCTGACCACCATCCCAGTCTAGGGCTCCACACTAGAGACACGGAGACTCCGTTGCTGGCTCTTCTGCTGTGTTCTGTCTCTCTGAGGACACACAGCTTAGAAATTACCATTGAAGGGGCACACTTTCACAGGCCAGACACACCCAGACCCAACACCCAGAACGCATCCCTGAAAGAGGGTTGTTGCCCTGTAATCAAGGCACTCACAGCTGCTGAGGGAGGTGAGTGAGGATACGCTCACGGCTGGGAGGGTTGCAAAAGGCTGCATTGAGCTAACTTGCGGTTTCCACCTTGAAAGAGTCTGGAGAAAGATATCTAGAGAAATGAGATATCACTACTTAGAAAATCTTGATTAAGTATGACTTGTCAGCTCCATTCAGCTACATCGAGGCCCTTTTGAGGTGCTGTGAGGAGTACGAGGGCAACAGGCAGCAGATCACAGCACGTTCCCACATGATGCCCTGCTCAAGAGGCACTGTGTGACGCCATCTAATTTTTAATTCCAGACACTGACGAAACATGCCCATCCTTCACCAAACTGAGCTTCCCCAACGCAGTGGTTGGTACAGGACTCAATGTAAGGCTGATGCTCTACACAGAGAGAGACCAGGTCTGCGCACAACTCATCAACTCCACAGCTTTGGGGAACTTAAATGTGACCAAGAAAACCACCTTCATTATCCACGGCTTCCGGCCAACAGGCTCCCCTCCAGTTTGGATGGAGGAGTTGGTGCACAGTCTGCTCCGTGAGCAAGAGATGAACGTGGTGGTGGTTGACTGGAATCGAGGAGCTACGACTGTGATATACAGCAGCGCCTCTGCGAAGACCAGAAAAGTCGCTGAGATCTTGGAGGAATTTATCAAACACATGGTGGTAAGAAAGACTCCTCTTAGATCACGTGGCTGCTTTTTGGAAGCTTAAAGCCAAGAGGCATCACTTGGTTGGATGGTGGAGGGCCATTTTGTAACTTTTTATAACCATGGGCAAATCTGAATAAACCCAGGGAAGAGGGGATGGCTTTCCAGGCTGTCCACCTCACAGAGAAGGGGTACATTGCCATTCTTAATGTAAATTTTACATCCTCATAATCTTTCATAGCTAAGGGCAGAGAGCCTTGTGGAAGGAGCATCATTTTTTGACAACTATGAAGGTGTCTTTGAATAGGAGAGGTCTGCTTAGAGATCTTGGTTTGAATACCTGGACCTCCTTCAACTTCTGAAGCTGTTTTGCTAGAAGTCCAAGAGACTAATGTCTAGATTATTCCAAACCACAGTGGAAACACAGTTCAATGGGACAGTCAATGTTTCTAGAAGGCCTTCCAAGGCAGAGCCTTAGCTTTTGTTTACTGAATGATCTCATGAGCTGCTCTTTAAAAAAGAAAAAAAAAACAATAACAATAACAAAAGATGTGACATGAGTCAGGTTGTGGTGGCACATGCCTTTAATCCCAGCACTTAGGAGGCAGAGGCAGATCTTTGTGAGTTCAAGGCCAGCCTGGTCTACAGAGCAATGTCAGAGAGACACCCCCCCCACGAGGTGACTGCCGTGGCTGGTTGTGACAGGAGTTTTCTGTCAGCTCGTCAGCAAGCAGGTTAACATTTGGGTGACTGAGAACATACTGTCCAGCAGCCTGTGGTCAGTGTGGTTTGCCCTCTCCCACCTTTTCTTTCTCTGGCATGCTGACTCCAATAAGGAGTTCATCAAAATGCTTTATCACTCCTCCCTAATCTGAAAGCCCTAAAGATGTCTCTGCCTGATGACCAGCAGAGAGTCAGGAGTGGAGACACAAAGGACACAAATTTGGGGCTAGCTGTTTGGTTTGAATCCTGCCCTGTGCCCTCCCTGACTGCTTTACCTGGGCCAGATAACCTCAGCTCTAGGTTTCAGTTTCCCTATTTACCCTTGAAAGTAGTATCAACCTTGCAGGATGCCTTATCCCCTCTTTTCCTGCCATGCTGGGGATTGAACCTATGGCTTATAACATAAGTGCCCTAAGCTGAACTACTGCTCCAGGCCTCTTGTGACATTTAAATGAGACAATAGGGGCTAAGGAGTTGGCTCAGTTGATAAGCTCTAGGTGTGCAAGTATGAAGACCTGAGCTCAACCCCAAGAACCTACATAAAAACATCTGGGCACAGTAGTGCACAGTGCGTGCTGGCAATCCCAGACCCAGGGGAGCGACACGGGAGAATCTCTCGGGCTTTCTGGCTGGTCTAACCAAATCAGCTAACTCCAGGCTCAGAGAGAGACCCTGCCTCAAAAACTCAGGTGGCGAGCAATCAAGGGAGACACCTAATATAAAAAGAAAAATTCATTTATTCTTATGTTTTTAATGTATATGAGTGTTCGTCTGCATGTATATATGTGCACCGTGTAGGTGTTTGGTGCCTACAGAAGTCAGAAGGTGGCACCGGAGCCTTTGCAACTGAGTTACACACCATTGTGAGCTGCTGTGTGGGTGCTGAGAATCGAACCTGACTCCTCTGCAAGAGCAAGTGTTCCTAACCACAGAGCTATACCTCCAGCCTGCTGAGCTATACCTCCAGCCTGACACATGGCTTTTTGACCTCTGGCCTCCACACATAAGTGAATAGATGTGCGTGCATATCTACCCACACACAAAGTAGTCCAAGTGAGACAATAGACGATACAGTACTTAGGAATATTCCTCCAAAGCAAAGAAGACCTCTGCAAGCCTGGTCAACTTGTTGAACTCTCACAAATTATTAATGAAATTCTAGGACAAAGGAGCATCTCTGGACAACATTTATATGATTGGAGTGAGTCTAGGAGCCCACATAGCTGGATTTGTTGGAGCAGCGTACCCTAAGAAGCTGGGGAGAATCACAGGTAAGGTTCCTGGGAGTGAGCAGGGCTCTCACCTGGGCCGGTGTTCTCTGGGAGAGCACCACCACAAAGGTCATATTGACCTCAGCCTATGACTTAACAGAATGTTTTGCAAATTGTGTATGTCACAGAAAAGCTTGGTGGTGACCGTATTTTTCTTATGCTCACCCCCAGCAGCATCCCGGGGGATTGTTGTTGTTTTGGTTTTTGTTTTTTCTGTTCCCAGAGAACCTCGTTCCTTTGGGTCAATTCAGGCTGGCCTGAGCTACAGAGCTGGCACTCACAGGCGCAGCTGGAGACTCACGGAAGGGAAAGGGGCTTGAAACTCAGCAGCTGGGCCTGCCTGTTGAAGTATCAGCTTTCTATCAAACACCCCAACTGTAGCAGGTCCCACCCTGAAGGACGAAGACTTTCTGGATCTCTTGACTAGAGCTTAAGAATGTCCACAGCTACTTACGAGGCTGAGGGCCTGCTCCAGCTTGCAAGGGCTCATCATTTGCCTTTCCCAGGGTTCATTCTCACATCCGGGGTTTAAAGTTAGGGAGTCTGTAAGACAGAAGTGTGTGGAAGGAGAGGAAATGCAAATGACTCCAAACACACATTTGGGGGGAGGGGGGAAGGTAATCTCACAGCCCCAAATCCCCCTCCCCCAGTTCTATTGGCCGGCATTTCTTCCCAATGTTTGTTCTGGATTTTCCCCCCCTCACTTTCCCCAAAGGCCAAGGTGGCCTCAGTTATCTAATTTATCTATCTTCCTAGCGAAACCAAGCAGTTTCAAAAGTTCAGGATGTATTATCACTATGTTTTCAAAAGTAATGTGCCTTTGCTTGCGAGAGGAGAGAGCGAGGGACTCCTCACACTTAGAACAGATGGCTTGGGCTTGCCTCCCTGGTAGACTGTTTCTTTCCAGTGGCGTGTTGTGGCAGTGAGGTGCAGTGGCTGGTGTTGGCTTACACAGTTTCCAGTTTCTGTGCTGATTTCTTTGGTAGTGAGTAATTTCAATCTGCCAACTTGGTGTCACTGATCACAGAGCTAGGAAGAAATGGACCAAACCCACCCCCTAGCCAAGTGTTTCATTCTGCCCAGGCGCCATGTTCTCTCCTGTGCCTTTTGACAGACAAATCCGCCCTCCTGACAACTGAACTGCCTGGTACCCAGCCAGGACTGCTGCTGCTCTAGGCCCAAGTGACCTGCCCTGAGACCCGGACTCAAGGTCGGGTCCACAAGTCAATTGTTACCGCCATTGGACGTCCCCAGTTCTCTCCTCACCACATTTAGTCCCAGCTGTCTCAGGAGAATTCTTTGTCCCAGTGTCCTTGCTTGGGTGTGCTCACTGGGAATGTGATCTGCTACCCACGGATACAAGCCACTGCCATTTCCCGAGACCGGGGAGGTCAGCCTGGCATCCATCTGGACTGGCTTTGTAGACCAGGCTGGCCTCGAAGTTACAGAGATCCCTCTGCCTCTGCCTCCCAAGTGCTGGGATTAAGGCATGTGCCACCACAGCCAGCTAAAATTTACATTTTTTAATTTAATATTTTGTGTTCTGGGAACAGAACCCATGGTATCACTGCATACAAGGCAAGCATTCGAGCTGAGCTATGTCCCAAACCTTATATTCTTAAAAAAAGAAAGAAAGATTTAAGTTTTAAATGTGTGTGTGTGTGTTTGTGCGTGCGCACGCATGTATGTGCAGGTACCTGCAGAAGCCAGAAGAGGGCATCAGATTCCCTGGTTGTGTGCTGGGAACTGAAGCTGGGCTCTCTGAAGAGCAGCATTCTGCTGAGGTTTATCTCCAGCCTGATAGTCTTCATGTTCTTAAAATCAACTCCCATTTGTTTTTAAAACATTTCAGGCTGGGAGATGCTCACCAGATAAAAGCACTTGCCATTCAAGTAAGAGGACTAGAGTTGGGATCCCTAGCACCCACATAATTGCTGGTAATGGGGGTGGTAGTGGCATCTGTAGTGCCAGCACTGGGGTGGCAGAGGCAGAGGGTCCTTGGAGCAAGCTGGCAAGCTGGACTAGCTTGGGTTCAAGTGAGAGACTCTAGCTTAGTATATAATGCGGGCGGGTGTAATAGGAATTTTGGCTTCTTTAAGAAACACAGAAATATTATAAGAATATGTTTTCATTTTAATCCAGGTGTGAGGATAAGCAGCCGACTATGATTTGCCTCTTGCTCTGGTGGGAGCGTGGTTTTGCCATCGGCAGTTTGTTTGGAATTCTGGAGGCTTTTGAGAGGGTGTGTAAATTCGAGAGCCCCAATAGGGGGGTTGTTGTTGGGTTCTTGGTTAGTTGTTGGTTGCAGTTTGTAGTCACGCACAAAGGAGAAACAGGAAGGGGAGGAAGAAATTAGATATCCTGACACCAAGGGTCAAACTTGCCCCAAGGAACTTGACGTCCCTCATCAGAAGGAAGTAGAGTCTAAATATAATGCCGTCGCCTTTCCTCTCTATCCTTTTTTTCTCTCTTGTCTAGTGTTAGGGCCCTGAGAGGGAAGGAGAAAGGGGTGGAGGAGAAGGGTGGAAGAAGTAAGAACCCACAAAGTAGCAAACGTTGGCTGCAGAAGGGGATGGAGAAAGAGACCCACTGTCAAGCTCTGGACTCTACATGCTCACACACGTGCTAATATACACATGCACATGCATGCAGCACACGCACATTTTAGGTGACTGCTGGAAACTTCTAACTACAAATAGGGATTCAGGTTCTGGACCATAATTTTACATCCATTTTGTATGTGTCGGTATGTGGCTAGCACCCCACCCACTCTCAGTACCCTCTCTGGACTAAATGTCTTATCTAGATCTGTGGGAGGTGCCAAGCCAGGGTGCTCGGTCTTTATTTTCTGCCGAGGAAGTGGTTGGTGTTGTCTGATGTGAGGAGGGGGAGGTTTCTGGGTAAACTCTTTCCAAGGCTATGGAGTTTTTTTTTCCTACTTTGTTGGGACCTGTTGTGTTGAGGCCACCTGTTGGCCCTGAGTGAGTGGGCATTATCTCACATCTCCCACAACAGTTTCAGTTGGAGAGGATGGAAGAAGAAAGCTGGGGGCGGAGGGAGGCCAGAGGAAGAAATGTTTCAAGGAATCACAAGGACATTGGGAGAGAAGAAAGCAAAACAACAAAAGCAAAGATCTTGATCTTGTGTGGAAGACAGGAAGGGGAGATGGCCTCAGAGAGGCGTCCAGAGGGACAGGGCAGGAACTGTGTGCGTGCACGAGGCCTAGGTTCCATCTCCAGCACCTAAGACAAGAACAAAACGAATTTAAACATATGATATTCATAGTTAAACTTGCAAGGAAGATACCCTGAAAACCCTCTTTGCACACGGCTCTAGTGAGTGGGGACTCTGCCAGACTGAGCTCTTTGAGCTCTCATGTTGTAGTTCTACAATCCTAAGCATGATTTCCAGGGGTTTCCCACAGCCCGGTTAACCCTGACAAAAACCAAGAAATCAGTGCAGGCATTATGGGATGCATTTGATATACCCCTTCCAAACCTAGCCTCACCACTTCCTGCTGAGTTTGGCTCAGCTAGGTGCTGAGAGACCTTGAGCAGATGGAGGGGGCTGTACTTCCGGGCCAGGCGCTGGCCAGGATGGGTGAGCCCCCTGGCCTCAGGAGCTGTAGGATGGAATCATATTGGCCACCTGGCTTTGTGATGTGTTGCAAATGACTTAGAGATCCAGTTAGAGGCCAGCCTGGGCTACACAGCTAATTCAAGCCAGGCTGAACCATATGATGGGACTTTGTCACGGGCAGGGACGTAGCTGGGTGCAGCTTCATTCGTAAAGTCCTGGGTTGAATTCTCAGCCCTCTCTGAGGGTTTTTGCCAGAAGAACCTTTCTGCCCAGATGACCTCACCCGTGTGACTCCTCGCCGTGGGGCTCTTCCCCAGTGGAGCCTCCTCATGGAGCCTGCCTGCTGTTCTCAGAGCCACTGCCAGGGCTGTGGGAAAAAGCTGCAGGCTGTGGACAGGAGTCCTGACTGCACGCTAGAACGCTAGCAATTACTCACCCCCAAACGCCCTGCAGCCGCGAGTCTTCTCCGGGAGGGATTGAAGACAGACCCAGTGACTCACGGTGTGGGGCTTCCAAGACGCTCTGCTTTTCTTTTAAGGTCTTGACCCTGCGGGCCCTTTATACAACGGGAGACCTCCCGAGGACAGATTAGATCCCAGCGATGCACAGTTCGTTGACGTCATCCACTCGGACACCGACGGTAACATTCCTGTGTGTGTGGCTCCAGGCAGAAGCTTTGATGCTTTCCCCACTGCGGGAAGGGAGGTCTGGCCACGCTGAAGGGGACCTGAGCCCTGGACCTGGGGTTGGAGGGGGCATGATTTCTTTCTCTCATCTCGGGTTTTCCCAGTGATCATCAAGTCCAATCAAGAACTGGCTGGTTTGTTTACCACATGGACAACTGGCTTCAGATGAACTAAGGTGTTCCAGTTGACTCTTTCTCCTTATTTCCCTAAGCTGAGAGTCCTGTGCACCCCTCCCCCACCCAGAGCACCCCTGGCCCACAGGTCACTTCCGTCTCTCAATCAACGTGCCGGTTTCCTATCTGTTTGGTACCTGTTGGTGTGGCTTGGGGGAGATGTTCATGGTTGGGTACCAAGGGTACATAGCAAGACTGTGGCTGAAAAAAATTTTAAAAAAAGGTAGATATCTGCTGTATCCAAATGTCTCAGGGATGAGCCCACTGGGAACTTGGGGAGGGGGGATGGAACAAAGCTCACTGATTTGTGCTCCCCCTCTATGATACGGGCAGCTATGAAGCCAGGGGGGAGGATGGAGCTCAGTGACAATCTTTGTGTGGCATGCCTCAGCACCAGGACACCAAGATGACAAACCAGCCTGGGTTCTGTGGGTGGCTCAGCCGGGAAGTGTTCTCCTAGCCACTGAGCCCTACAACCCGAGTTTCATCACTGGAATCCATCCGATGCAAAAGAGACCTGATTCCCACAGGTTGTCCTCAAACTTCCAAGTTCATGCTGGTGTATATGTTCCAAACACACACAGACACTTCAAGTTACTGTTTTTGTTTTTAAAATTACCCCTGACCCTGTACCCCAGGCACTCCCGTGTGACAGTCGGTGACTGTTTACCTTTGGGGAGAAAATGTCTTCTTGTGGACAGCTGCATCGTCACAGTGACATTTGCAAAGTAATCCCTTGCTGAAGTGGAACCCTTCAGTGCCATTCTAAGATGGGCAGAATAAGACTTTTATTCTTGCATAGTGAATTTCAAATGAAAGAATACAAGCTTTGCACTGGGCCAGACCCTTAGGTTCTGCTCTTCCTAATGATGGTAAGCTAAATCTCAAGCCTGCCAACCATTCATGCCCTTCGTCTAAGTTACTTCTACTTTCTCCACAGCTGTGTTGTAGACGTTATGAAAGTGGGAAAAAAGGTGTGTGAGATGCCTAGCTGACACACCGAGTCTCAAAATAAAAAAAAACACTATTATTATAATTACTGCACACATAACATAGGTATATATAAACACTTCTATTTTTTCTGAGATGCTTGCTATGTACCCCAGGCTAGCCTGTCACTGTGCAGCCAAGGCTGATTATAAACTGTCAACCTTCTTGTCTCAGCCCACTGGTTGCTGGATTTTAAGTGTGCACCACCATAGCTGGTTCTATGGTAACCTTTTAACAGAGCATTTTCTAATTATTTTGGGGTTTATATGGCCAGAGAAAATAAAGTTATTCCGTTTCTAGGTACCCACTTTAGAAATATTTCCAGTCCTTTTTTATTATCTTAGATCCCAGTCTGTTTGTTTGTTTGAGGCAGGGTCTCACTCTGTAGCCCAAGCTGGCCTCAAGATCATGGCAACTCCCCTGCCTAAGCCTCCTAAGGGCTGTAACTCAGGCGTGAGCCACCATACCTGCCTTAGGTCCAACATTTTTATTTTTACTCTTTCACTTTTATGATCATGGGTGTTTTGCCTGCGTGTTTGTCTGTATACCACATGTGTGCCTGGTGCCCAAAGAGGCCAGAAGAAGGTATTGGATTCCCTGAGACTGAGGTTCCAGGTAATTGTGAGCGACCATGTGGGTGCTGGGAACCTGACCCAGCTCTCAGCAAGAGCAGCCAGTGCTCTTAACCACTGAGCCATCTCACCATTTCAGGTCCAAACATTTTGTGATTTTTTTTTGACCTACTAAGCAGAAGTTAATTATTTCATATTTCATTTTGTGAAGATTTATCCAGTGCAAAAAGAAGTTCAGGAAGCTCTCAGCAGTTAGAGGGCAGACAGCTTCAGGCGAGCCCCTGCCTGACCCTACAGACAGGTGAATGTCAGGATGTGCACAGTCCTGGGCCCCGTGCAAACCTTGTGTTCTCTTTTAGCACTGGGCTACAGGGAGCCGCTAGGACACATGGACTTCTACCCCAATGGGGGACTGGATCAGCCCGGCTGCCCCAAGACAATATTTGGAGGTAAGTGTTATATGTTATGCTTTGCAAGGCTGTAGTTTGGAAAGGAGGATTAAAATATCTGACGCCAGCAGGGAGGTGGAGGCAGGAGGATCAGGAGCTCCATCCCAGCCCTGTCTCAAAAACAGAAACAACCAAAAAATTACCTGATATCTATAGGTCATTGTAAATAGAGAACAGACCGTCTGAAAAAATAGAGGTGTCAGGTAGCAAGTTGGAGAGTGTTTTGTCCAAGTAAGTACTCTGCTCTGTACCTCACTGCTGCTAGAGAAAGGAAAGCCATCTTGAAAAGCTTCTGGGACAAGGATGATCTGGGGACTTGAAAGATGGCTTAGGGGGTGAGAGTGCACAAGCTCAAGCCCCTGACTTCGGAGGCCACCCTGAGCAGCTGTGCCTGGGGCGGAGTCTCAGGTGCTGCCCTCCTGAGCAGCTGTTCAGGGCAGAGTCAGGACCACTGAGGCTTTCCAGCTGCCAGCCTTGGCCATATTCAGCGAGCCCCCGTCTGCTCAGAGGAATAGGTGAGGAGTGATAGAGCAAGGCACCTCTGGCCTCCAGGAGCCTGCACACACGGGTGCGTGCACACCTTCATGCGCACACACATTGACACTTTTGGGGAAAAAAAATCTAAAGGGATCACTGTAGGAAATGGCATTGGTGCATTGGTATATGGCCACGATGGAACAGCAAAGCGTTTGAAAATGATCCACCTGAAATGACATAAGTGGCCTTAGCCATATGACTGTCCCGTGCAAACAGAGTGACGACATGTATCCCCTGCTGTCACTGACACCGATTTCTGCTGGAGGAAGCTCTAGAAGCAGGAAGAGTGCCGGCCTGCCAGGTTTTACTTCAGTCCAATTTGTCCCAGGCGCCCCATGCTTCTTCCTCTTGGTTCCAGTTTATCCTCCATGGTCTCCTGTATGGGCTGCACTGAGCGCTGGAAACAGAAGCTTGGATCCTAGTTGCAGCACTGAGTGCCGGCCCCTCTCCCGCCCCAGCCATCACTCACAAGCGTAGTGCCCTTATCCTGGGTTGGCTGCTCCCTGTTTGGACCCGGTCTCTTTATGACCCACGTCAGGCCTCGGGTCCTTTGAGGACCAGCAGCTCCCCAAGTCCAGTTCTTCTGACACCCAGCTCTGCGCATCATCTGCTGCCTGCTGCCCCATAACACCTCACGGCACTGAGAAAGAGTCCGGCCTCTGACCACCCTTGCCCGTTTATGACTCCGGGCCATCACCTGTGAGTCAGTCTTTCTCAGCTCACTCTGGTGGCAGAAACAGAGCCCAGCCACCAGGTTGCTAGCACAGATGGCCCTCAGACCCCTCAAACCTTAGGTCTCATCATGGTGGTCCCACCCTGCCTGGGAGCATTTTTGGAGATGTCCTGAGACCATTTGAACGGAAAGGAAAACTTGGTAGCTTCTCCTTGGCTCTCACTGCCAGAGACAGTTATCCTTGTTGACTCTTGTTATCCCAGCTGACTCTTAGGGTCACCCCTCCCACACCTATGCAGCATCTCCCTATTACCCATTACAGATGAGCTAGACTTAGTCTCCACACACTCTTGTCCTAGCCGGTCACTGTTCTCGTGTGAAGAGACAACACGAACACGGCAAGTCGTTGTTATAAAGGCAAGCATTTAATTGGGGGCTCGCTTACAGTTTTAGACGGCTTGCAGGAAGCATGACGGCAACCAGGAGGGCGCTGGAGAAGAGCTACCTCCTGGTCTATAGGCAGAGAGAGACAGAGACAGACAAAGAGAGACAGACTGAGACTTAGGACTTGGCATTTTGAAACCTCAAGGCCACTCCCTTGGTGATCCGCTTCACCTAACAAGGCCACACCTCTTAATCATTCTAATGCTTTCAAATAGCGTCACTCTGTGGCCACTAAGCATTCAAATATGTGAGCCTGTGGGGGCCGTTCTTATTCGAACCAGCACACCATTAGAGAGCCGTCCTGTTTACCCCCTCTTTGTCCGAAGAATCAGCATTTCTTTCACCTTCTCTGCGAGCTCCCAGCCCTCTCTTTCAAAGCGGCTCTCTGCTGCCCTCCCTGGAGTCATTCCTGGTGCCCTTTTGCCTGATGATCTTTCTTTCTTCTTTACTTTTTGGGTGTGTGGATTTGCTTTGCAGATCAGAGCTCCAAATCAAACATCATTTCTCAGGAGCCATTCATCTTGTTTTTTTGAGACAGGATCTAGAAGCTGATTACTTTTGTTTTTTGTTTTAAACTATTTATTGTCATTGAGCATACATACTCTCTTTAATATTCTGTGGAGTCTGTGTGGTGGGGAGTGTGTGTGTGTGCTGTGTGTGTGGTGTGTATGTGGTGTGTGTGTTTGTGTGTGGTGTGTGTATGATATGTGTGTGGTATGTGTGTATGTGTGTGTTGTGGTGTGTGAGTACAGATGTGCGCCTGCTGCTGTGTGCATGTGGAAGGGAGAGGAAGCTTTTGGTACTCACCTCTCTCTTCCACTTGTTTTTGGGGTGATGCTTTTCTTGTTTCCCTGCACTTGTGAGGCCTAGGCTGGCTGGCCTGTGGTTCCTGTCTCTGGCTCTCGTCCTGCCATAGGATGTGTGCCACTGCACACATCTTTAATCTGAATTTTGAAGAGCAGACTCAGGCCATCAGGCTCGTCCAGCACATTCTTTTGTCCTCCAAGCCTCTCTCCAGGTCCACCCCTTGCTGTCTGAGATAGGCCTCTCACTAAGCCGATGTTCTCTGTTTGTGCTGGCTGGCTAGTGAGTCCTGAAAATCCGCCTGTGTCTGCTTCCTAAATGCTGGGATTGTAAGTGCCTGCCGCAAAGCCTGTTCTTATTATTTTTAAAGGATATTTTAAGTGCTTAGTATTTTTCATTTTTCAATGATTTTTTTTAAAATATTTTATGTGCTTTGCTGTTTTGCCTGCATGTATTTCTGTGTGAGGGTGTCCGATCCCTGGAACTGGAGTTTCAGGCAGGCGTGAGCTGCCATGTGGGTGCTGGAAATTGAACCCTGGTCCTCTGGAAGAACAGCCAGTACTCTTAATTGCTGAGCCATCTCTCTAGTCCCCAAGCCTGTTTCCATCAACATATTTAATTTTTCCCTTTATTTTTATCTTATATGTTTGGGGGTTTTGCCTGCATGTGTACCCATGAACCATGTGTGCCTGGTGTCCATGAGACTAGAAGAAGACATCAGGGAAACATCAGGGAGGGAGGTTACGGCAAAGTAGGGAACTCTGCCTTAGAGGCCTCAGATCTTATCTGATGATGTTCTTGATGTTGGTGGATACGAGGGGTCTGTTTGTACATTCCAAAAAGGATTTTATCCGGATCATAAAGATGTTAGGCCAAGCACATAGGTAGATGATAAAGAACTGTTAAGATTAAGGAAAGCACAAGTTACAATCTCACAACTTACAATCACAGCAGTGACTATTATTGTTGTTGAGACAGGGTCTGTCTATGTGCCCCTGGAACTCACTACGGAGACCAGGCTGGCCTCTAACCCACAGAGATCCACCCGCTGTAATTCTGTTCTGAACACATACAACCTAATTCATTACTGCTTCTGTCTCACTGGCTGTTGTATCTGCTTGAATGACTTACTTCATCTGGGTTAGACTTGCTAGGTCGCATGTGTTTCTTTTGTGTGTTATATGTGTTATTTATACTTCTTCTGTTGAGAACCCCCAGTTCATTTAGAAGCCCATTTACCGATTGGATGATTTTAGGGGTGCTTAGTTTTTACAGTTCTTTATATGTTCTAGATGCTGATGCCCTATCTGGAATGTGCTTGGCAAAGATCTTCCTCTCTCTATAGGCTGTCTCCGGTCTGGTGATCGTAACTCTGTTATGCAGTGTCTTCCTAATTTCATTTGTTAACGCCTGGGGTTATTTCTCATGCAGGTGAAGTCACTTCCGGAAAATCTTCGCCTGTGCTTACACTCGTGTTTTTCTCTAGCAATTGCAAGGTTTCAGGTCTTAACATCGGCTTTGATCTGTTTTGAATTGATGTTTGAAAGAGATACAATTAAGTTTCGTTCCTGACAGGTGCCTGGCCAGTTTGCCCAGCACGGCTCGTTGAAGAAGCTCTTTTTGTTCCTGTGGCCCTGTAATATAGTTTGATAAATCACTAGCATTGCTCTTTCTTCTAAGGCTATTTAGGATCTTTTGTTCTTCCATATGAATTTTACAGTTTCTTTTTTCTAGACTTATATATCAGATGCGGTTGGGATTTTGATCAATTTGCCAATCACTTTAGACTATACAGTCATTTTTACAATATTGATTCTGTTGGCCCAGAGCATAAGAGATGCTTTTTTAGGAAAGACTTAAAAAAAAACACTTAAAGACATTTGCTATATTTTTATTTTGTATGTATATGTTTGCACATGTGTATGCTCACAAGTGCTCTCAGGGGCCAGAAGAGAGTGTCTGATCCCTTGGAGATGGAGATACAGGTGGTTGCGAGCTACCTGACATGGGTCCTAGGAACCAAACTCCAGCAAGTTCTCTCCACTGCGGAGCCACCTCTGCAGCCTGTAAAGAGAGATGCTTTTAGAACACATTTCTTTACTTATTTGTGCATGTTCTTAAGTGTGAATATGTATATCCACAGTAGGGCATGCGGAAGTCAGAGGACAGCCTGAGGAACTTAGCTCTCTCCTTCCTGTATGGGCCGCAGGGATCTAGTTTAGAAGGGTAGGTCTGGTGGCAGGCACCTTTATCCACAGAAGAGAGCTTTCCACCTTTATTGTTTGAAATGTAGAGGTCTTTCACATCCTTGGGTAGGTTTTTTTCTTGGTTATCTTATTTTTCTGGGAGCTGTTGTGAATGGTGTTTCTTTCTCAGCAAGTCCATTTTTGGTGCAGAATGGCAACTGACTTCTCTAAGGCCGATCTCGCATCCTGACGCTTTGCTGAAAGTGTGCATCAGCTCTAATGGTTTTTCTGGAGGAGTCTTGAGGGGCTTTTCACCATAGGCTTTTCTTCAGATAAATACACTTTGATTCCTTCTGTAATGTGTGAGTCCCTTTTGTTTGTTTCTTTCTCTTTTATTACCATAGCCATGGTTTCCATCACTGAGCTGAACAGGGGCACTGAGAGCCAGGACCCTTGCAGTGTTCCTGAGTGAGTTAGGACTTTGACCTTTTCCCATGTTGCTGACCTATCTTTTCTTTTTAACCAATTTTCATTTCTTTGAACCATGTAGTTAAAGAGTTGTAGTCTTTTGGAGGCGCGTTGCCCACATGAACTCTCGTTTCTTGTGATTCTATGCTGTGATTTGCCTGTCGTTTGGATGGCTCTTCCAGTTTCATTTGGGGATTTTCTCCTTGAACATTTAGATAACTTGGCATCGTTCTTTTTGTTGTTGCTTTTGTTGGTTTTGTTTTTGAGACAAGGTTTCTCTGTGTAGCTCTGGATGGCCTGGACTCACTTTGTAGACCAGGCTGGCCTGGAACTCACAGAGATCTGCCTGCCCCTGCCTCCCGAGGGCTGATATTAAAGGCGTGTGCCTCCACTGCCTGGCCGGCTTACATTGTTTCAGTGAGCCCCTCATTTTTTGTCCACATTTTTCTGAGTTTCTGACATTTTTTCTCTCTTTGAAATAGTTTATTTTTCCCGTTTCTTTTTTTTTTTCTTTTCTTTCTTTTTGAGACAGAATTTCCTGTAGATCAGGTTGTTCTTGAACTCACTGTGTAGCTGAGGATGACCTTGAACTCCTGATCTTCCTGCCTCTACCTCCCAAGTGTTAAGAGCACAGGTGTGTACTCAGGCCCAACCCTATGGTCTGTTTTTCTTACTCTCTATCATCTCCTTCACCGAACCACACAGAGGCTGCTCTGGTCTGCTCTTACCCAGAAGCCCCTTTTTGCCTTTGACAATGAACGAACACTGCAGCCATGATAAGAACTACTCTTTGGCACTTGACCTTTGGAGTTGCTAGAGTTATCAGTGCTGGCCAGTGACAGATTTCAGATGCTCCTCCTGCAACTTCTAACTTCACTCTTAGTCGGAAGCAGAGCCTATGAGTTGCACTTTCTCAGTGCCTACCAGGTCCAAATTACCAATCAGATGCGTGCCTGGCAGCCTTCTAGGATCGACAGCAGTGAATGAAATAGGCCCAGTCTTTATTTTACGAAGGAACTATAGTGATTCTATGAAGAAGAGAAAAATATTTAAAAAAAATGATTAACATTCATTTATGTTTATGTGTGTGTATGTGTCTGGAAGCCTCAGAGGCCAGACGAGGGGGTCAGATCCCCTGGAGATGGAGTGACAGGTAGCTGTGAGTCGCCTGCCATGGGTGTCCTCAGCAAGAACAGTTAAGTGCTCTCGACCATGGAGCCACCTCTTCAGGCCCGGGAAGTAGCTCTTTATTAGACCTACGGCAGATATTTAATGGTGAATGGCCAGTGTGAGGGGAGCCAGGGGTGTCGGTGGACACCTGTGGTGCCAGCACTTGGGAAGTGGAGGTGAGACGACTGTGGATTTGGCTAGTTTGGATAACGCGCTGAGACCCCATCTCAAACACAGAACGACCAGAGAAGCTGTACTGGAGGTAACAGAATAGGATTTGGGATGGGATATGTTCACAGCTTGTGGGACTCAATTGACTCCTTCCACCATGTGGGACCCAGGGTTGGAATTCAGGTCATCAGGCTTAACAGCAGCCATCTTTGCCTGGTCAGCCATCTTGCCAGCCCTGAGTTGCTCTCTGGATAACAATTTTGATTGAGCATCCTGACTTCCTGGTGACCTTTGAACTAGCACTGTCAATGAACAGGTTTGTCAACCCGAGTAGCCGACAACGTAGTTACTTAGTCCCTGAAGCACCTTATAAATTACCAGGGCTTTGAAGTTCTTGAGTCTCACAGCTGTGCTGGGGGCAAGGAGTGGTCCAAAGTCCTGAGCCTCCTAAGAGTCAGCAGTGTTTGGGGGTGGCCCTGAACCTGCATTTCATCAAGCCTAAACATAGTGAGGATAATCTGTTGCTCAAACGCTGGATGGCGGCGTAGGCATCTATGTGCAGGGGGCTGGGTGGCTCACCCCTGGGTGTATGTACCCAAGGCCATGTGTAGAGACCAGAGGACATTTTCCTTAGTCATTCCCATCTGGTCATTTGAGAAAGAGTCTCTTACTGCACACGGAGCTTCCTTCACAAGCTAGACTGGCTGGTTAGCAACCTCCGGGAGCCATTTGTCTCCATATCTTCGGTGCCTGGGTGACACACCCATGCTGCTGCCTGCTGGGGATCCAGGTCTTCATTCTTGTGCAGAGCCATCTCTGCAGCCCTCCCTTTTAGTGATGCTGGAAACTGAGGTTCGAACCTTGTGCATACTCCTGCCTCAAGCCTCTTCTTTTTAAAGTGTGTGCACATGAGTGTGTGTGTGTGTGTGTGTGTGTGTGTGTGTGTGTGTGTGAGAGAGAGAGAGAGAGAGAGAGCATTTGTGTATTCTTGTATTAGTGCCTGTAGAGGCCAGAATTGAGCATTGGATCCCCTAAAGCTGGAGTTACAGTTTTGAACTGCCCATGTGGGTGTGGAAACTGAACCAGGGTCCTCTGGAAGAGCAGCCAGCGCCCCTAAGCCCTGAGCCTCCTCTCCAGCACCCCACACCCAGGTTTGCCTTTGTTCTCGCAACAACCTTAATATGGTTTACTCTCCACCTTGCCACTGGCCACCGTGAATCTGTGTCTGCGGTTCTCGTGGGGATAGGCGGAATTGAGCACAGAGAAGCTTTCTGTGCAGGGCCTGGCATTCAGGAGCTGGAGCAGGTGTGGCGGCGCTTGTATAAAATGTGAAAAGTGCTTCCGGTAAATGCTGCAGCTGCTCTTGCTTCCTTTCTCATCAAGGCATAAAGTACTTCAAGTGCGACCACCAGATGTCTGTGTTCCTGTACCTCGCATCCCTGCAAAACAACTGCTCCATCACGGCCTATCCCTGCGACTCCTATCGGGATTACAGGAATGGCAAGTGTGTCAGCTGCGGCATTGGACAAAGCAAGCCCTGTCCCCTTCTGGGTAAGCCCGGGAAGCTTCCTTCTCTGCCGGACAGTTAATTTTTGTACAGATCCTAGAGTCATTTTACTGTCTAAACACTTGTCCCAGTTGTATCTACTAAAATTGTAGACAGTCAGCTTTATTTACTTATTACTCGAGATAAGGTCTTGCTGCATAGTTTAGGCTCCTTTGAGCTTATTTTGTAGCCCAGGCTGGCCTTGGACTTGAAACTTTCTTGCCACAGCCTCCAGAGTAGTAGGTATTACAAGAGTGTACCACAGCCCATTTGTTCTCTGAGCTACTCTAGTGTTCGATTATAGAGGATTAGGTTAGGGCATGGCAGCTCAGCAAGGAGAAATCAGAGTTTGAGACTAGTCTTGGTTACCTAGAGAGACCCTCTTTTTTGAAAGGCAACATAAAAAACCCGCTTACCTTTTACACCCCAAAACCAAAGCCGAAAAACAACAAAACAAACAAACAAAAACAACAACAGCTGCCACCTGCCCAGTGTTAGAACAATCTTCATGGGATTCCACCCGCAGGTTACTGCCGACATACTATGCTGTCATAAAGAAGATAACAGGTTTTGCAAGCCTGCCCAGGCTTTGCACAGCCTGTTCCTGCCGAGACAGCAGCCCCCGCTCCTCCAGCCCTCTCTGGGGAGGTCCACAGTGAGCCCGAGACCAGGCCCAGGGCTGGGACTTGCAGGATGATCCCTCCCAGCAGACTGCATCTGTAAACGCTTTCTCTCTCCACTCTGACTTGTGTGTCCACATACAGTGCCCTGGTGGGGAAAAGACACTGTAGAGACTGCTGAGATGTTTGCCGGAAGTTAGAGGAAACATTCTAGGTGTTACGACTTCAAGACTGTGGGCTGTGAAGACCCATTTTTCTTGACAGACAGAAAGAGGCTCCACTGGGCAGCATTTGCACTTGTCTCCCTGAGCTGAGCGGTCATGTACTCAGCGACCATGTGCTCAAGGACACGGTCACACATTAAGCCCATGGTCTGTACACTTTAATCTAATATTAGTTCTTCAAGAAAGCCCTGGGGCCAGTTAGGTTTACGACAGGCCTGTAATCCTAGGCATCTGGCAGGCTAAGGCAGGTCCTGTCCCCAAAACGATATTACAAAAGCACAGTGGGTTCAAGAAAGCCTGAGTAACTTAGCAAGACTTTATATCAAAATAAAAAGTAAAACAAATGGACTGTGGATATAGCCTGGTAGTAGATCGCCGGCCTGGCATGCTTAAGGCCCTGAAATAATTCCTAGTACTTTTGAGACACATAGATAGGTAGGTAGGTAGGTAGGTAGGTAGGTAGATAGATAGATAGATAGAGGTATTGCTTGGTGTATAAAGTGCATACTTTGCATGCATAAGATCCTGGGTCCCATCTTCAGAATAAAACCAACGTTGCAATAGTGATTCTGTTTTAAGTATGAGTCTCAATCTGGCTCAATGTTGAAAATGAAGGCATTATTGAAAACTATCTGTGTACCAGTGTGTGTGCTAATCCCATTTCCCGCCTAGTTACTGAGGGGCCCTTCTGCACCTCAGTTCTTAGGATGGAGACAGCCAGCAAGAAGGAAGAACCTCTAAGGAACAGGAGAGCGGGGAGGGGGAAAAGGGAGGAAGGGTGGGACTGGGAGAAGAGGAGGGAGGGGGCTAGGCTCCGATGTAAAGTGAATAAACAAACAAACAAACAAACAAACATTTTAAAAAAGAAGAAGGGAGAGCATTGACACAAAGAGCTTCCCCCATCTGGTGGGGTCTGGAGATGGAGTGGGAGGGAGTTGTTGCAAACTTACTGTTCTTGCTTCCTCTGTGGCTTCCATGTTTATCTAATAAACATTGGTGTTTCTGGCTTGTTTTGTAGGCTACTACGCCGACAACTGGAAAAAATACTTAGGAGATCCTCCAATGACGAAGGTGTTCTTTGACACAGCGGAGAAAAAACCATACTGCAGTGAGTGATGGCTGTGTTGGTTGTTCTGTCTGACCCTGGCATTTTGGAGAGCATGGAGTCTCAGCTCTCTGGATGCTTCTTGGAAAATGGGGACAGTGGTAGATAGTGCTTTGGAGCTAAAAGAACCTAAGAGCAACAGCTTCTGTCTGTAAGAGTTGTGTGACCTTGGCCAACCTTCTCCTCTCTGAGTGCCTTGTGGGTGCTGGGAATTGAACCCTGGTCTGCTGGAAGAGCAGCCAGTGCTCTTAACCACTGAGCCATCTCTCCAATCCTACTATTTTTAGTTTATTTAGCTGTCTTTCTCCATAATCCCTCACCACCCCCTATCCTCTTCTCCTTTCCATTTGATCCTCCCATTCCAGCCCTTCCCATCCGTATCCATCTATTTCATTTCCCTTTCCTATCTGTTGCCTTTAGTCCATTAATCTAGGGGGGTCCTTCTCTACCTCAGTTCTTAGAAGGAAGAACATCTGAGGAATAGGGAGAGGGGAAAAAGGGAGGAAGGGTGGGACCTACTCTCTGTGGTTCTGTGAATTATAGCTTGGTTATTATTGACTTATCGGCTAATATACACATAGAAGTGAATACATACCATATTTGTCTTTCTGGGTCAAGAATATCTCTCTCAGGATGATTTTTTTTTCTAGCTGCATCCATTTACCTTCAAATGTCATGATGTCATTTTGTTTTAACAGCTGAGTAATACTGCATTGTGCTAAACGTACCACATTTTTTTTTTTTTTACCCATTCTTCTGTTGAGGGACATCTAGGTTGTTCCTACTTTCTGGCTGTTATGAATAGAGCAGAAATGAACATGGTTGAGCAAGTGTCTCTGTGGTAGAATGAAGCGTCCGCTGGGTATATGCCCAAGAGAGGTATGGCTGGCTCTTGAGGTAGACTGATCCCCATCTCCTGAGCTCCACCACACTGCTTTCCATAGTGGTGAATTAGTTTGCACTCCCCCAGCAGTAGACGGGCGTTTTATCCCACATCCTCGCCAGCGTGGGCTGTCACTTGTTGCTCTTTGCCATTCTGACAGGTGGAAGGTGAACTCTCAAAGAAGTTTGCATTTGCATTTCCCTGATGACTAAGGATGCTAAACATTTTTTTTTTTAAAGCGCTTCTCAGCCATTTGAGTTTCTTCTATTGAGAATTCTCTTTAGATCTGTATCCCAGTTTTTGACTGGGTTATTTTTGACATCTATTTTCTTGAGTTCTTTAAGGACTTTGGATATTGGCCCTCTGTTGGATGTGGAATTGGCAAAAACATTTTCCCATTTTGTAGACTGTCGCTTTGTCAGTCACAGTGCCCTTGCCACGCGGAAACTTCCCAGTTCCATGAGGCCTCGTGTATTAACTGGAGCTGATTTGCGCAGGGCGATAAGTATGGACCTATCTACACGCAGACATCTGGTTTGAGCAGCACCACTTGTTGAAGATACTGCCTTTTGTTTTTTTCCAGTGTGTATTTCTGGCCTTTTTATGAAAAATCAGGTGCCCATAGATATATGGATTTCTGTCCTAGTCTTCAATTTGATCCCCTTGATCAGCGTGGCTATGTTTATGCTAATACGGTGCTGTATTATATAGCTCTATAATACAGCTTGTAGTCAGGGGTAGTGATACTTCAGCTGTTCTTTTACTATTCAGATATTAAGATTTTAGCTATCCTCTTTTTTATTTGTTTTTTGTTTTAATTTGTTTGTTTGTTTGTTTTTCGAGACAGGATTTCTCTGTGTAGCCTGGCTATCCTGGAACTTGATCTGTAGACCAGTCTGGCTTTGAACTCAGAAATCTGCCTGCCCCTGCCTTCCAAGTGCTGGGATTAAAATTGTTTGCCACCATATCCAGCTTTTATCTATGTGTGTGTGTGTGTGTGTGTGTGTGTTTTCATACAAGCTGAAAATTGTCCTTTCAAGATCTTCAAAGACTTGTGTTGGAATTGCATTGAATTTGAAGATTATTTTTGGTAGAATGGACATTTTTACTATGGTAATTCTACCGCTTCCCAGCATGGAAGATCTTTCTATCTTCTGATAGCTTCTTCAATTTCTTTCTTTAATGACTTTAATCTTCTTTCACTTGCTTGGTTAGCAGGTGGTCTATTGCAGATCTGGGGTGAGCCTGGGGGACTGGGCTTGTAGGAATGGAGGGAGAGATGTTTAAAATAATTATGTGGCATATATGTACAATTTTACCATTTATTAAGGACAAAGGCAAATTTGTGTTTTGATGAGATAGACGTGCCTGCTTACTTTACACAAGGTGCTAACGCTTGGCTAAACATCTACTATGGCTTGATATGGGTCATCACTGGGGTTTTATAGAGTTGATCGGTGTTCTGATTTTAAAATTATCAGTGAGGACGTTGCTGTGCGTGACTAAGAGAACAAACTGGCAGAAGGTGTATCAGAAATTGTTGGAAATTCTCTTCTTATTCCAATCTAGAACTCTTTTTTTTTTTTTAAATTATCTGCTGGGCAGTGGTGGTGCACACTTTTAATCCCAGCACTTGGGAGGCAGAAGCAGGTGTGAGTTTGAGGTCAACCCGGTCTACAGAGTGAGTTCCAGGACAACCAGGGCTATACAGAAACCCTGTCTCTCTCTCTCTCTCTCTCTCTCTCTCTCTCTCTCTCTCACACACACACACACACACACACACACATACACACACACACAAAATAAAAAGAGAGAGAGAGAAGAAAAGAAAGAAAAAGCTATTTTATCTGAGTATTTTGCCTGCAGTTGTGTGTGTATACCATGCGCCCAGTGCCTGTAGATGCCAAAAGAGGGTTCTAGATCCTCTGAAACTGGAGTTAGAGACATTTCTGAGTCACCATGTGGGTACTAGGACTTGAACACCGGTCCTTTTTAAAAACAAAACTCAGGTCAGCAATTCAAACAGTAGTTACTTTTTAAAAGTGTGTTTATTCTGGAGCGCCTGGGAGTGGAGGTTAGAGGACAACTTGAAGGAATCCATTCTCTCCTTACGTCACGTGGGCTCAAGGGATCAAGTTCAGGTTGTAAGAACTGGCGGTAGGTGCCTCCCGTGAGCTGTCTTGACAGCCTTCAGACAGTGATTTTCGCCAGCAAACATTCTAACGCAGTGCAATCCAAAGCTCTCCCAGGCTGGAACAGGCATGCTGAGAAACGAAGACAAAAACATGAAAGTCTTCCATAATTAGATCCTGTGTGTGCGAGCAGCCCAACACAAATGATAGTAAGTTGAGTAAAAACATCATGAGATGGGTGCGTGTGCGTGTGCGCATGCCTGTGTGTGTATGTGTGTGTGTGTGTGTGTGTGTCACTGGACTATAGGGTTCCTTAGCGAAAGGTTGAACATGCCTGCCAGACTATGAGGCAGGCATCCACAACCCCTGCACATGCTCACTGTTGAGCACTGAGCTCCGCTGTCACTCATGCCATCTGTATCAAAGAGAAGAGCAAGAAACAATAAAAAAGCCGGCCACGCTACACACCCGTAGTCCTCCCACTTGGGAAAGTCAAGGGGTCAGAAACTCAAGGTCATCCTTGTCTATGTAGTGAGTTTGAAGGACTTGGACTCCAAAACCATTAAAGACAAAAGACAGTTCTTGAGTCTTTGCGGAGAAACTCTAGAGGGAGAGAAAAAGGACCTTGGCTTTTCAGACCCGATCCTACTGGGGAGCACGGTGGTACCTCTCTTATGGGGCTTTCTCCATATTTTACAGTGTATCATTATTTTGTGGACATTGTATCTTGGAACAAGAGTGCAAGAAGAGGGTTCATTACAATCAAACTGAAAGGCAAAGATGGACATATCACAGAATCCAAAATCGATCAGTAAGTTGAGCTGCAAGTTTACATTTTCTAGTTCATTTGCTTTTCCCACTGAGCAGCCTATAGCAGTGAATTGAAGGATAGCCCGGGCACCTTAGTGGAATCCTGTCTCAAAGATAAAAGTGAAAAGCAGACTTGGGAGACTGCTTAATCCAAAGGACTTTAATCACTGGAGTTTTGGGATTGAATTCCAGTACTAGGAGATGGGGGAGGGAGAGAAAATCGGAGCTTTAACGTGTTTAATGTACATTCTTTGACACTTCTTTCTTTCTTTTCCTTTCTTTCTTCTTTCTTTCTTTCTTTCTTTCTTCCCTCCTTTCTTTCCTTTCTCTCTTTCTTTCTTTCTTTCTCTTTTTCTTTCTTTCTCTTTTTCTTTCTTTCTTTCTTTCTTTCTTTCTTTCTTTCTTTCTTTCTTTCTTTCTTTCTTCTTTCTTTTCTTCTTCTTCTTCTCCTTTTTCTCCTTCTTCTCCTTCTTCTTCTTTTTGAGACACGGTTTCTCTGTAGCCTTGGCTGTCCTGGAACTCACTCTGTAGAGCAGGCTGGCCTCTACCTCAGAGATCCCCCTGCCTCTGCCTCCTGAGTCCTGGGATTAAAGGAGTGCAATACCACTGCCCAGCTCACATTCCATTTCTTCACATTAGTTTTTAATTTATTACAATTTATTTACTTTGTATCCCAGCTGTAGCCCCCTCCCTCTCCCAGTCCCGCCCTTCCTCTCCTCCTCCCATGCCCCTCCCCAAGTCCACTGACAGTGGAGGTCCTCCTCCCCTTCCATCTGACTCTAGCCTATCTGGTCTCATCAAGACTGGCTGCATTGTCACTCTGTGCACTGGCAAGGTTGCTCCCTCCTCAGGGGGAAGTGATCAAAGAGCCAGCCACTGAGTTCATGTCAGAGGTAGTCCCTGTTTCCATTACTAGGAACCCACTTGGAGACTGAGCTGCCATGACTACATCTGTGCAGGGGTTCTAGATTATCTCCATGCATGGTCCTTGGTTGGAGTAGCAGTCTCAGAAAAGACCCCTGTGTCCAGATTTTGGGTTCATTTGCTCTCCTTTTGGAGTTCCTGTTCCCTCCAGGTCTTTCTATCTTCCCCTTCTTTCATAAGATTTCCTGCACTCTGCCCAAAGTTTGGCTATGTATCTTTCAGAGGCCCTCTGTGGTAGACTCCTGTCCTGTTCTGTTTTCTCCCTCTTCCGATGTTTATCCATTTGCCCCTCTGAACTACAGTCCCCCGCTCTACCAGCTGACTATCGAAGGTCACACTCCATTTTTATAGTGAATATAACATGTATTTGTATTTCAAATTAGCAGCTGGACTCAATTTAGATGATCCCAATTTTGTTGATAAGTCCAATGTATTATAACCTGAAAACCCGGTGATCCTCAGGAAGCTCTCTCTGGGGAGGCTTGGCACTGCTTTTGCTTTTGTTTTTAGATTTATTTATTTAATGTGCATTAGTGTTTTGCCTGCATGTATGTCTGTGTGAGGGTGTCAGATCCCCTGGAACAGGAGTTACAGACAGTTGTGAGCTGCCATGTGAGTGCTGGGAATTGAACCCGGATCCTTTGGAAGAGCAGCTGGTGCTTTTAACCGCTGAGCCATCTCTCCAGCCCTTGACACCTTTCTTTTTCTTCTGGCAGATAACTGATAAACACCTGGCGTTTGGGCCAGTGGGCTGCAGACTTAGATTGGGATTAGGGAGCTCCAGAGGTGTTTGTTACACCAGCCCCACTGGTACCACATCTAAGGCTTCCCAGGGTGTGGCAGGCCTCTTAGAACTATGAACTGCTTTCATCAGCATTACTGCATATAAGCACAGCCTCATGGAGAGCCTGGATTCCATGTCAGCTGTAGGGGTGAATGTGCCTGGAGATGTGAATACCGTCTGGAAGACAGGAGACAGTCACAGGTAGCACGCTTCCCCGGCCTCGCTTTGGAGGCCAGTGGCTTCATTTAGACAGTTGTGTAGAGCCAGGGGCCCTGGCTCATGAAAGTCAGCTTGGGTGGGCAAATGGACCAAAGAGTCACCTGCTAGCCAGACTTGGAGGCTGGAAGCTGCTTTTTCTCATTAGCAATCTGTATTCATTTTAAAATGCCGTCTCTTCCCTCCAGCGAGCCATCGACATTTCAAAAGTACCATCAAGTGAGTCTACTTGCAAGATTTAATCAAGATCTGGATAAAGTGACAGAAATTTCCTTGTTGTTCTCCACAAAGTCAGTTGTGGGTCCAAAGTACAAGCTCAGAGTCCTTCGAATGAAGCTGAGGTCCCTGGTCCACCCAGACAGGTGAGCCACAGGCAGGCTTGACAGGCTCTTGTTACCATGCCCTCCTCTAGCCCTTTTCTTTCCTTCCTTCCTTCTTTCTTTCTTTCTTTCTTTCTTTCTTTCTTTCTTTCTTTCTTTCTTTCTTTCTTTCTTTCTTTCTTTCTTCCTTCCTTCCTTCCTTCCTTCCTTCTTCCTTCTTCCTTCCTTCCTTCCTTCTTCCTTCCTTCCTTCCTCCCTCCCTCCCTCCCTCCCTCCCTCCTTCCTCCTTCCTTCCTTCCTCCTTCCTTCCTTCCTTCCTTCCTTCTTCCTTCCTTCCTTCCTTCCTTCCTTCCTTCCTTCCTTCCTTTCTTCCTTCCTTCCTTTCTTCCTTCCTTCTTTCTTCCCTCCCTCCCTCCCTCCCTCCCTCCCTCCCTCCTTTCTTTTCTTTCTTTCTTTCTTTCTTTCTTTCTTTCTTTCTTTCTTTCTTT